ATGACAAAGGTAGACTTTGAAAGACTCTCGAGGAGTAAGACAGCATGGAGCAGATATGACCGGTCAGCTGGAGGAATGGCGACGTATATAAGCGCCGAGGATCGAGCAAGAGGAGGTAGGGACCATAAGTGCTTGGGAATGAGGACGTAAGGAGATGCAGACGAGAAGACGGAACGATAGAAGAGGACCTCAGCAAGCGCAATTAGATCTTCTTGTATCTCGCCGTCGTGACAGCAAGCCTGGAAAGGTGAGTGATGAAAGCGCCCGATGAGTTAATAAGGAACAATCAAAATGCTACTGATCAGTTAATTTCATTCCAAGAATTCTTGTTAAGGCTGTTTTTTACTAATAGACCGAATGGAGAATGATCTAGGCACGACATAACATGAAAGTTCGCGTCCTATAAGGTATAAATAAGATATGTACAGAGATTCTGTTAAGAAGAAGTAGACGCAACGAGTGAGGAGGTACTACCATAATACCCTATATATTATATGTGACACTCTTTTTGCTGTCTGTGGTAAGTAGTATAAAATCAAATTACACCAAGTTGCAGTAAATTTCTCCTATAGTGTAAAGATATTAAAGATTTATGTTTAGTTTTACTGAGCTTATAAGCTGATAGTAATGTTTCGCCGTGGATAGCAGTTAGATCACTCTCTTTTAGTCGTTGTTTTGTGTGTAGTGTCGAGTGAGATGATACACACCAGAGAGCTTATTTGCCTTTATTTATATTCCATTCGTACTTCTTCTCATATTGCCTAGTAAATTATTAAGTTATCTCATGTAGTTCCTTGCATCTATCTCCTATTATTTCTATTCTATCTTTTCTTCTTCGTCTTCTTACACTCTTATATACTCTTACATGTCTCATTATATCTCACTCAAGCCTATTCACGACTAATACTCTATGCACTTTTCTCGTTCGTGTGACTCTATACTTCTTTCTTCCATCTCGTTCATCTTTTCATATATCTACACTGTCTCCTTCTTTCTTCAACTGCTTTCTTGCCATAGACTTTCTCCTTATCAAACCTGTATCACCTCTTATCACAATTACTAATATATCTATTTCATTAGTCAGATCCGTACGTACCTACTTCGATACTTTCTCTTTCTTTTCTTCTTCACTTCGTATATTCACTTTTTTCCCTCTACTTTCATTACTTTTCTTTTCACTATCTTCTTAAGTTTCTTCTTCAGTTCTCATACGCATATCTTCTTGTCACTCCTCTGGGAGGATCGACGTGCATAGTCTACTTCTCTTCTCATCCTGACATGCGCCGTTACCTTTTGTATTCTCCCCATAACTGGCCTACTCTCTAACCTCGTACAATACTCTTACGCTCCATTACCAATACCTTCTCTGCATTCTAAGTCCAGCCTCTCAAGGGCGGTGGCACATACGGCGACTCGGGACCGAGTTGGACGGCACAAGTGTATCTCTTCACCTTCGGATCAGTCCTTTGTGCGCACCCTCTATGGCCATCTCCTTTTCACATGATATCCACGCAAGGTGGATTTGCGCACCTCTCGGTATAGCGCATGCTCAACAGTCCCAAAGATACTTCTATCAATGTCACATCTTATTTCTCATCCTCAACGTCTATCTAATGTCTCTTCTTCTTGCTCTATATATAATGTGAAATTCTTTTTTCTAATCAGTGTATACTCTATCACATCTTGTGTGTCGTTCTCTGTTCAGTTTCCCTTCTCTCTCTAAATTGTCTCATGCGTTTATCCCTGGAGTTCTATGACCTTCTTCTCTCTCCACTTCTTTGTGCTGTGAGCTGCGAGCGTATAAAAGTTCGATTCAAGAAACTCACGGGGGAAAAAGGAAATGTGGAGTTTAATCATGTGTGCGTCTTTCATGTTTCTCAGAGGACGAACCATGAGCTCATAATCATATCCTTATATACCAGCGCGACGTGAGCATTCGAGCGTTGTCCAGAAAATATCACCACCTTCCTTGATTCTCTCATGTCTTGCCCTCCAGTTGTTTTTTTGTCTATTTTGTCTTCTATTCGCTATCACACGCTCAATCGCGAGGTCACGATTCATTGTTTTTCATTTATGACACTAACTAAGGTTCTACGGGAAGAGTTACAGAGACATGAAAACCGTTTCCATAATTATACCTGCGTTTAATAGTATACCTTTATGTTCAGGAAATATATAATAGGTTAAAACACGAATAATCATGAGATATATATTATCTTCGAATGATGGTTGAAATATAATCTAGAACGTAGTGGATGTTGTCGGGAAACACAAATGGGACGCGAACGAAAAACGTCATCGCACAATATGAGCATCTCCAAGGAAGGAGAGAAAGTCATTCCGTCGATCTATAATGGAGCACGAGAACAAACCGGCCACTGTCAACAAAGTACACCTCTCATAACATCGCCCGCTCATATACGCTGCACTATGGCTGAAGGCTCCCCTGAACAAATAACCAAGGAAATCCACAGTCAACAAGAAAGACAGAGAAAATGACAGAGAATGGCATTGACCCTTATTACACACTGCAATACTACTTACACTTCCGTAAAATGATTTTGCTAATCATCTATATGGAGGATAGCTATACGAACTATCAGAGAGTCGAATCCTTCGCCGATTTCATGGTATACAAGAGCTATTAGAAGCGGTGGGAGGCCAGTCGAGAGATTGCAATAATCACTTTTTTCAATGGCAGTCATATTAGTTCAAAGGTAAAATACAATCTATACTATTATGTTACATGTAATGTAATTATTTATGGTTACAGCTTACATCTCTTGCGGGAGTCATAACCTCTCGACACTTTCAGACACGTATACAAGTATGCCACAGCTCATCACCTTCAGGAGAAAATGCAAGTTAGAACACAAGCCTCCTGGTTTACACAACCACGCAAAGCATAAATGAAGGACCCTACAAACTGGCACCTGAGCTTGGGATGCTTGGATGTGGTGTAGCTCATGTATAAGGGAAATTTCTGTGACATAATGCATAAGACCAAAGTGACACCAGTTTGAGGCTGAAAGCTGCTTGAGCTTTGGTTAAGCCAATATGGCTTCATCCATCTGTTACGTCGTTCGTGTTCCAGAGACAAGTTGTGGTGGAGACTGCACAGAAAGTGAGACAAGGACATTACTGCAGTAACTCTGCCAGGCTGGAAGTATTTCTTCTTGGACGCAGTTGCTTTCCTGCATGAGTCTGGTGCAGTAAAGGTCATGGTCCAAGAAATCGAGAATGGACGAGCAACAGGGGGACGTCTCGCTCTGTACACGGCAGCGCTCTACCTCATCCCACGACCCAGCATTGAGGCAGTCAAGGCTCTCACGCCACTCTTTGAAAGCCCTCGCCCAGTGCCCTCGGTGCTGCTGGCAGCTGCTTCCATGATAAACCACTACTGCCTTCATACTCCAGCTTGCCACCAGAAAGCTCCAGTGGCGAGAATTGCAGAGATTCTGGCCACCAGAGTCCAGAGTCACTGCTCTCCTTCTGCTGGTGCTGAGGGCGAGGAAGTACCCCTTGCATTCTTCAAGGCAATAGGGAATATGGGTGTAGCTACACCTGCCGTGACAAGGGCAGCCGTCCAATGCATTGAAGAAGAAGGACTGGAAACCAGCATTCGGGTAGCTGCAGCACAAGCCTTCAGACAAGCCAATTGCTTCCGTCCAGTAAGTAGTATTTGAGATAACGGTAGGGAATATTTTGTCCATTGTTTTTTATCTAATATACGATGATCGAATAACATAGTGTGGATGTGTGAGTATGTTATACTATAATAATTTCAGGCAGTTGAAAAGCTAGTAGACATTGCCGTCCGACCAGCCTTTGACACCGAAGTCCGCATCGCTTCCTATCTGGCAGCTGTCCGATGTGCTGAACAGGAACACCTGGAGAAAATTATTGAGAAGATTTCAAAGGAAGAGAATACCCAAGGTATGTAAATATTCATATCTTAACCTCTCCTATAAATCGTCCACAAAAACTAATATTAATGTCACCATACTACCAGAACAATCTGTTAGTGGCAATTATTCTTATTTATTCTTAGATCTATAGAGTATTTTACAAATGTTTTCTTTGACCACCATATTAATTACTAAAACCAAAGATGTTGCTAATAACCTAAGCTATCACTTGATAATTGTTATGACAATAGTACATTCATATTATCATTCTCCAGATGTTGGTGAATGCTCATATGATATTGCTTCATTTCAGTGCGTGGATTTGTTTTGGGTCACCTGATCAACATCCAAGAGGGTAGCTGCCCCAACAAAGAAAACCTCAGGTACCTCCTTGCCAACGTTGTCATCCCTACCGACTTCGAGAAGGACTTCAGGAAATTCTCTCGACATATAGATATGGCTTACTATGCCCCTGCCTTAGGCATGGGTGCCGGCCTCGAGTCGAACATCATCTATGCTCCCGGATCTTTCATTCCTCGTGCTGTTAACCTGAACATGAGAGCAACTGTGGATGAGACGCCCATGGACATAGCAGAGATTGGTGCGCGCTTTGAAGGAGTCGATTCCATCATTGAAGAGCTCTTGGGCCCACAGGGATACCTACGCAAAGCAACATTTGGAAAGATTATGGAGGACATTACGGGTTTTGCAGGAGAGAAAGGCCTCAAGATCATGGAGCACTTCAAGCACACAATGAGGACCAGGCGATCCATCGATGCTTCTGTCATCTCCGACTTCTTCGGCAAGCTGTATGGTGAGAGCAGTTCGCACACCCACGCCGATATATTCGCCCGGTTCATGGGGCACGAGATTACTTTCGCAGATGTTGCCCAAAGCCTCAAGGGTGTCACAGCTGACACACTCATTGAGACTTTCTTCTCTTTCTTCGAGAATTCCTTGGAACATATGAAGGATCTTAACCTGAACACAGCAAGAACTGCTCAGCTTTCCATGGATTACTCACTGCCCACCATTCAGGGCACACCACTCAAGCTGAACTTAGCTGCAACTGCTGTTGCTGGCCTCAAGATGGAGGGCAACGTCAACATTGCCAGATCCTCTCTGACCTGGGCAATTCCCACGCACAAGGTGTGTCCAGGCCTCTGTACAAGCCACTGGTTGTTGTGAGTGCCGCTTTACCAAGTGCCGGGAGATGCAGACCACCATCTCTAGTGCCACTGGAGCCGCCATCAACATCAGAACAACTGAAAACAAGAAGATCGAGCTGGAATTGGAGATCCCTGACAAGATGGAACTCCTCAACATCAAGGCCGAGACTTACCTTGTCAAAGCTAGGGGAAAGAAGATGACTAAGATTTCTCCTTCCTCCATGAGAGATGTCAGGATTGAGCGCAAGTCCTGCATTGCTGCTTTGGAACCAGTATTTGGCCTCAAGGTGTGCTATGACATGAACTTCCCTGATGTGTTCCGTGCTAATGCCCTGCCACTTGGTGAACCAGCCATCGCCAAGCTGTACGTTGAGAAGGCAGATTCCTTCCATGAGAGGTTACTTAGTGACTGCTGCCACAATCAAGAACCAAGTTGGGCGAAGAGGAG